AAAATCTGTTAAAAAATCTGTTAAAAAAAAAACAAGATCCCAAATAAGTACTAGAGGCCCAGGGTTTTCCCCGACTGTATGTAACAAAGAGTAATGCGGCGTTCCTCCTTCAAGGCCTGTTGCTGTATTCTGCTGGTCAGCTTAAGGTAACATTTTAGAAACAACTGGCAAGCTACAAATGACATGTATGTTACCTCCCTGCCTGGAGGCTCAAGCAGAGCAGGAAGCTGGACTAATTATTAGCCAATATCATTCTGTTACACACCCAGTTGCACAAGGGGGGAAAAAAAAAAAAAAAAAAAAAAAGCATTCTGTGCAACTTAAATCTACTACCAAGCTTTGCAGAAAATAATTATGATAATCAACATGCTATTTTTTTTTTTGCATTTTGTTTACATATGTCTTAAATAAAAGTAATTAGATTATGCAATGCTGCATTGTTTAAAATTTTTTATACACGCATCTTTAAAGCTTAAAAACATGATACCTCAGATCAGCCTATGGTTAGCCTGGGCAGCTTCAGGATGGCAACCAGTGATGATTGCAAGATGAATTAAAGATTTTTCATTTTAATGAAAACCTGTTTGAACACGTTGGCCTCACCAGTCATTAGGAAAACTAGAGGGGGATAGAATATTGTAAAAGGCCATCTGCAATAAGACGGGAATTTTGACTATTCCTGTACTCATCAGGAATAGTGATGTTTTCTGTGGTCATTAACAAAATAGAGACGAATCAAGCCTCGTAAGCTGTGGGTAAAACGCGAAAGATTACAATCCGAGTTTTTCACACGTGCAACTCGGAGCCAGGTAATCTAAAGGCAAAATAACATTTATGTGAAATTTTTGATTTTTGTGTTGTTTTTCATTTAAAAAAAGCAATAGGACAAATCTGAACTCTGCAAGGAAATGTGAGATAAACATTAAGGGCAAAGATTTCTGGAGCAGAAAGATCAGGTTTCCGCATCATGAAGAGGGACTTTGTTATCAGTGTACTGTGTTTGGTTCGTGACATTCTGTAACAGCCAGAAATTCAGCACCAAGATCTTTAAAGGTGTTGAGAGTGAGATCTTAATATGGATACAAAAACCAAGCCCCCAGTGTGTGATCATGTTTCAATTGTGTCTTTTTATCCACATTACAAAGGGTGAAACACTGCAGTGTTTTTGCTACTTTAAAACATGAGATTCTTGCAGTAAGATGACACCAAGGAAGAAACACTGATGTAACACAGCATTTACATAAACATCCTATAAAAATAATAAAAAACACAAGGTATAACTTTTATTAAAAACAGTGTTTATTCTTACAGCATTTAAAATGTTATTTGTTGTAATAATAATGTAAGTAAAATGATGATGATTTATCAACTTATGGAATAAACTGTCACTAACTTTATTAGTAGGGCTAATTTTTGCAGAATACTATACGCTTTTGTCATCCTACTTCTTATAATAGTTGATATCAGTTGATATTCAGTCAGGCTATTTGCCTGCGAAGAGCCTTCAGTCCTGATCGGAGAGATTGGTAGCACTAATTTAATTTCCAAACACAAGTTTCTATCCGTGAAATATACCTTTTGAGTGCAGCAAAGAAAAGAAAATGTTGTGTTCTTTCAACTAGAAGCAGATAATCTGGTAGTACAGCAACAGGTCAGGGAGGGGCATTCTGTGCTCCCTTTGCTCCATACAGCTGAAGAAACCCCTGGCAACTCTGGCCCTTTGTATTAAACTACTGTAAGAATGGCATGTGTATCATTGTTTGCCGTTTTAAAAGTACAACTATGTAAAACCTTGATACAGTACTGCTTATACAACCCAGGCTTATACAGCAATGCAACCAAAACTGTGAAATGTGTTCCAACGCAGCCGCTATATTAATAAATAATATATAAACTCACAGAAAATAGACCTGATGGATGAAGTCGAGTTACACATTAATCCTGTAATCCTAAGACTTCTTACATGAGCTGTGCTTGTTGAAACTTGTGAAGATTATCTTGCGTCAGAACCAATATGTCATTAAATAAAATAAAGGTAAGAAGACAAGAAAATAAAAATAAATAAATAAAACTATGGTCCTGCATTTTGTAGAAAAAAGACCCAGCAGTCCTTAATGCTTCCTGAACGCTGCCGAGCTTTAAGGCTTGGTAACAAGGTTCGGGAGTCACGCAAAAGGGACAGGATGAGAGGAGGCTCGTCCAGCATACATCCCGTCAAGTTTGATGAGAGACGGCTGTGTTTGCTATGCGGTCAGATAGTTTGCGCTTCACCGGATACATGTGTAGCGCAAGCTGGATAAACAGGTTGTGTGTCACTTTCTTAATAATGTGTAGGTGAACAACATACTGTACATACTGTAGTAAAAGAACATTTACTTTAGCAGTGCACAAATAGTCAGCAGTCAGGGTTTAGACAGGTTAACGTAAGCACATTTGATTATAAACAGCGTAAATGTTTGTTTGATTTAGCCATATTATGACAAAGCGGAATTTAATTTTACTGACCAGAAAAAAATATGTCAAGTAAAACTTAGACAAAAGTAGCCTACATTTATTGTTTTAGATTTTTATGCACGCCGAACACGTTATTATTATTATTTTTTAAATAAAGATTTTAAGAGACACACCCCAAACAACAGAACTATCCAAAAACCCCTATCTCTAACTGTATTCAGACTAACGTCCTGTACAATATTTCTCCCGCTGGTCTTCTAGCCAAAAACGTCTAATTTACAGAATCATAAAAAAATATCTTTATACTTACCAGCGTTTTCTACTGCGGTCACTGCATGAATTGGGGCTGCAGTCCCAAGAGGAACAGAGAATAAAATGGAAATTGCCGCGAAGTTTGTTTTCACCCGACTTGATTTGGTGACTTTCCACCCTGACTTCCGGCGATGTCAGTAGACATAGCAGATCAACGCCACCTACTGTTGAGATTATAATTACAGTCTTCAAGTGCACTGTGGTTTTCATTCCTCCTCCCATTGAACATTTCGCACTTAATATTGATAAAATATTTGTATGTGAAATGTAGCACTATACAGGGAAGCATATTAATTATCAGCGCTCTTGGACAAAAAAGATCAAATAAGCCCGAATGTTTAATCTTTTTATTAATCTAGCAGCGCAGAAAGCACATTACTACCTTCATGTGCTCTATACATAAATGTAGTAGCTGTTAACGGAAAAACGTATGTATACGTAAACTTACTACTTTTATGTTTCACTTTTGTAATGCATCCGCACTTAATTAGAAATTGCAGTACTCTTTTGGCAAGACATTTTAATCTGACAATGTTTTTTTTTATTGCCTTGTTGAAAAGAAGCAAAAGGATATCAAGCAAAATACATTGACCAGTCATTCAACCTAATGTTCGATTTATAATAAAATATTTAAAATGTAAATGTTTTAGTGTTGCTAATTCATAATTAACAGTAATTGCTAATGTAATACATTGAAAATCTTCAAATTGAACATCATTGCATTTTTTGTGTCCTTGACAATATATCAAATGATACAATGTTGCTTTTGTTAGTGTATTTGGAAAAAACAGCTTAAACCCTTCATCTTATACAAACACTGTTGCTATATTTGAAACAGATTTTATTAAATCATATATTTTATCAAATCTAAATGTTATTTTATTTCTTGCAATAAACATGAAGATCACAGCTCACATGCTGTCACATCTGATTTTTTGGTGGTATCAAGGTCTTATCTCTGTGATATAAATCCTTTTTTTTTTTGGCATAATTATAGGCCACACCTTTTCTCTAAATTATTGATCACCACCAGCGTTGTCAATAGTTGGCTGCAAGGAAGAAGGAGCAAAGTCTAAAAGCTCTGCACTGCTGAGTGGTCATTTCTCTCCTATACAACAACACAGTTACATAATTTTTTTATTAATACCCACATAATGCATAATTACGACAACTGAGTGATCATTTCATTATTTTATTTTTTTTATTGTAAAAGAACTATTATAGTTCTCATGTGACCATATTTTTGGATTTCTAAACGAAGCATCATTTGTTGGTAAAACCTGGAGATGAAAAAAGAAACTTGGGGTGACTGCAGTATTTAATATGACATAAAGTTAGTGTTTTTTTTGTTGTTGTTTTTTTCAAAGCAACATACAAATTAAGGAGAACTGAAGCTGCAGAACGTGAGAAGAGTTTGTTGTAAGCCCCAAACTTTGAATCTGTTGAAATGTTTGAATGTGAGAAGCTCAACCACGGGCGAGATTTAACAAAAAGGATTTCAGTAAGAGGAGGTATATGGATGTGTTGTGTAACATAACAACTCCAACAGATGACAGCGTCAATATTTATTTTACTGATCTAAATTAACTGGAAAAGCACATTTGTTTTTGCAGCACCATCCATTATGCAAACAAATTTTAACAGTGATGGTTGTGATTGTTGTTAATAAGCCTTAAATGACTTTCCTCTTTAAAACAGTTCACCAATAAAGTCCCTAGAAGACATTTTATTCTCCCGAAGGAGACAAAATGACACCGCAAGGTTTAATGATGTACTATTAGAAATTCACTCATGATCATAATCAATGGCCTCCCGGTCATTACTCCCATTTTACAGTGCTCATTGATAAGGAGGAATATATGGTTATCGAGACGATATTTTTTGCTGTCAAAACAGGTTAGCAAAGATTAATGTTTTGATCAAACTTTAGTCTAATAAATTGCAAGTGTATTAGACTAAACCTTGCGTTTTTCACCAATTTTTGCTTTAAATTTGCAGTCTGGTTGATATAATTGTTAACATGACCCTTATCAGTCTAATTGAAGTGAAGATAATGGGAAAACGGAGGCATAGGTCAACCTGGTAATGCGATAAAAAATCTTTGTAAGAGCCTCAGTGTTGCTGGTGGCTTGAGGAAGACGTCCAGGTAAGGTGCATTTTTACTTTCCAACTGCACAGTCATCTCAGTTGCTTGCTAAGGATAAAAATATTAAGTTGGTTTTCTTTTAATAAAGCTTACAAATAATATTGCCATTAAACCACATAGAGTAGTGAGTTACTAATTACAAAATTTGTACAAATGTTACATCCATCCACTGACCTAAGCGAAACACGATTTTTCCAGTAAAAACATGAACAATCTGAGCTTTATTTTTATATTCATTTTTAAATGAATAAATCATGTTTCTCCGTTGTTTTTTTTAAATGTTTTTATTTCTATTTCAGGTTAACACAGTGCTGAATAAGACTGTGTTGGCTAACATGACGAAATCTAAGCAACATGATCTATCTGATGCTAACAATACAGGCAAGAAATTTGATTTTAATTTTCTTATTTTATATTTTTTTTAAATCTGATAACTTTTTTTTAACTTAACACTGTCTTTTTTTTTCAGGAGGCAATCAGATCAAGTAAGTTTATGATGAGACGCTTTTGTCATCTTTAAGATTACAAATTAAAAGTAAATACTTATATTATTTCAAGATTTACCTAAGTGGATTGAGAAAGACATTTGTGTTTTACTTTTCAGAGATGACAAGGAAAAGGAAAAAACACTAAGCGTTGGATACTTTCAGCTGGTAGTTATTTTCTTTTGTTAAATTATTTCCTATATCTCCTGGCTTTTGATATCAGTTTATTTGTCATAAAATTAATTAATTAAGTGTTTTAAGACACTGTTACTGTTTTTTTTCTTTTGCATCTTGCGGTCATTGGATTCCTCTGGATACTCTGGCTTTCTCCTACAGTCCAAAAAACGTGACTGTTAGGTTAATTGATTACTCTAAATTGCCATTAGGTGTGTGTGTGTGTGTGTGTGTGTGCATGCATGGTTGTTTACCCTGTATGTTTTTGTGTTACCTTGTGATGAACTGGTGATCTGTCTAGGGTGTATCCCGCCCTGGACTTAGTCATTGCTTAAGATAGGTACCCGCCTCCTACACCTCTGCAAGGACTGTAGGCATAGATAATGGACGGGGGATGTTTTTATCCCTAAACCTGGTATTAGTGTATAGTCTGTTAAATGCTTTGTCATCCTGAGCTCAGCGCTTTGGTCAAATTGTTTAGCAACATTGCACCAGTCCCATCGTGCCCCAGTTTGTTCCAGCAAAGCTTCATGAGCTTTGGTGGATCCTGGATTGTTTGTGAACTCTGTAACCACATTTGTTTCATCTGAGGGGAACAGTTTGGGTCAGATGGTAGAAGTTTTGGATACAGCTGGGGGTTCCAGCAGGACAATGCTCCTTAACACATAAAAGCTTATGCACCCAATGCTTGTTTGTAAAATTATTGTAATATTTTTTTATATAATTATTTCAACAAAAGGGTTGTTTAATTGCATATTTAAAATGCCAGACTGATGCATAACGAGTGTATAGAATGACTTGACCCTAAAGCTCTTTGTCTTGCTTAACACGCTGCAAAAACTCTCCTAACTCAGGATGACAAAGCATTTAATAGTTGCTGCTTTTATTTCAAAACATAAAATCAATATGATGACACTGTGAAATGTCTGCTAAAACATATATCAGTGTAAGTGCAGAATCCGCACCCACTACTGGTCCGGGGTCCGTTTAAGTTTTCAGGTCCTGAAAGAACCCATGTTGCTCTCAGCTCATCTACATTGTTGGCTCTGATGTTCTTCAGCTTTGCTTTAAAATTTTAATTGACTATCTTTGAGGTTCAGGTCAGTTTTTCTGGCCAGTCAAGCACAATGGTCATTTAACCTGATATTGGTAGTTTTTGCCCTGGGCAGGTGCCAAGTTGTACTGGAAAGTAATATTTGCATGTCCATTAAATATATGTTTTATTCCCATTATTGTATAAAAAAGGCATATATATATATATATATATATATATATATATATATATATATATATATATATATATATATATATATATATATATATATATATATATTCCTTATAGACAACCGTTTATGACAGAATGGCACTTCTTTTCTCTACTTAAAGTTTCGATTTGCCACCTGGAGAGACAAACTGATGATGGTGGTGGGAAGCCTGTGTGCCCTGATCCATGGCTCAGCTTCGCCCCTCATGCTCCTGGTGTACGGCATGATGACCAACACTTTTGTGGCTTATGAGTTGGAAGTCCAAGAGCTCAAAGACCCTAACAAGGAGTGCATAAACACCACCATTCATTGGACCAATGGCTCCATTTATGAAACAACTGAAAATACCACGGTTTCTTGTGGGTAAGTCAGGAGTGTACCGCCGAGGTGATTAATTATTGATTGTTGCTTTCATTTCTCTGTCTTCACAGGGTGAATATCGAAGCACAGATGACCATGTTTGCATATTATTACATTGGCATCGGGTTAGGTGTTCTGATTGTTAGTTACTTTCAGGTTTGTTTAAACATTTAGCTTTAAGTTGAAAATCTTCTGAGCACAAATGCACCGTAGATGAAAGAAAATGAAATACCTTTGATTTTGTGTTTTAGATTGTCTTCTGGGTGTCAGCAGCTGCAAGACAAACTCACAAAATCAGAAAAACTTATTTCAGGAAAGTTATGCAAATGGAAATCGGATGGTTTGACTGCAACTCTGTCGGGGAACTGAACACAAGGATTTCTGAGTAAGTCTTCAGGTAAAATTAAAAAAAAAAACTGTCACTGTTGCAAAAATAATTGCATCTGATACATTGCTTTTTCTTCTATCCTCTCTCTCCTCATAGTGATATCAACAAGATCAACAATGCCATTGCCGATCAGGTGTCCATTTTCATCGAAAGGATCTCAACATTTGTGTTTGGCTTCATGGTTGGATTCATTGGCGGGTGGAAGCTGACTTTGGTTGTCATAGCAGTCAGCCCTCTGATTGGCATAGCTGCTGGACTCATGGCCATGGTAGTAAAATGACTATGCTTTACAACCAGCAAATAGATGACAGTTTTTAATTTTTTCTGAGAGTTTGTGTCCTCTACAACTTAAGGCTGTGGCCAGACTAACCGGAAGAGAGCTGACGGCCTACGCAAAGGCAGGAGCAGTGGCAGACGAGGTCCTGTCATCCATCAGGACGGTTGCAGCGTTTGGAGGGGAGGAAAAGGAAGCTGAAAGGTAATTTTGTTAAACTGTATGAATGATAAAACAATTATTTTCCTACTGCATTTAGATATGTATTTTGTTCGCCTATACTTGTACTTTAATGATTTGTTGTATTTAACAAAAAATAATACATTTAATCTTTTTGCAGGGGTCATTGGGTTAAGCGTTTGATTTTAATCTGTGAAACACTTTTTCTTGATGCTGTTAGTGTGAACAGTGGAACATAAATACAGTTTGATTGATTAATTGTTGTGTGACAGGTATGACAGAAACCTCATTGAAGCTCAGAACTGGGGTGTAAAAAAAGGCTCAATTATAGGAGTGTTTCAAGGATACCTGTGGTGCATCATCTTCCTGTGCTATGCCTTGGCCTTTTGGTACGGGTCTAAACTAGTCATTGACACCAAGGAACTGAGTCCAGGGAGCCTAATTCAGGTAATCGGAGCTAAGCACAACATATATTTTATGTTGAGTAGGTTTTTTTTATTATTATTATTTACAGAAATATTACATATAAAATCTAATATTATGTTTTTGTCATAAATGAGACACTGAGCATCTTTAAAAGCATTTAGGATGCTGAAGTTCACATAATATTTCATCTATAAATAGAATGTACTTCTACAATGAATAATAGGTGTTTTTGAAAAAAAAAAAACAGTACAATTTCTGATAAAGTTACTAATTAATTCTCTCATTGTTTTTTGTAACTGATTATTAATGTGTTTATTTTCTTATTTCACATGAAACAGCAAGTTAATTTGAACACTTAAAAATTACTTAAACTACATTGCCTTTGGTTCTCCTGTTTATTTCCTTTTTATTATGAAATAAGGAACATAAAGACTGAATATATATTGTTTAAAAAAGTGATTCACACAGATTGGGTTTTCAAATAAATAATTTATTACACATTTCTATACATAAATTTGATAAAATATATTTTTACCTTTTCTAATAAAATGCCTGAAACAATATGAAATATTCTTGACAGATAAAATTTGCATGTTCTTTAAAAAAAATGATTGATTGATCTCTTGCAAATATCAGAGTGAAATATGAGCTACTCTAAAACATGAATGTGTCTGACAACAAAACATATTTCAGCTTCTTGTGCAACAGTGTACTTCTGCTTCAATGTTTGGTTTCCCTGCCGTATGTCAGGTTTTCTTTGGAGTGCTGATGGCAGCTATGAACCTTGGCCAGGCCTCACCATGTCTGGAGGCCTTTGCTTCTGGCCGGGCAGCAGCAAAAAATATTTTTGAAACAATTGATCGGGTAATGTAACATGTTCTCAGAGGAAATAAAGTTTGGGCAGAGCTGAAACACAATGGCATAAAATAATATGTTTCCACTTTCACAGGAACCAGAAATTAATTGTTTCTCAGACGATGGACATAAATTAGACAAAGTCAAGGGTGACCTGGAGTTCCACAACATCACCTTCTTCTATCCATCTCGACCTGACGTTAAGGTAACGCAACTTGCCCATTGTCTATCCTGCTCTCGCTTTGGTCTTAGCAAAGCTTGTGAAATTCCAACTGCTTACTCAGATTTTAGATAACCTGAGTATGCAGATTAAGGCGGGAGAAACGACTGCTTTTGTTGGACCGAGTGGATCTGGAAAGAGCACCACAATTCAACTCATTCAAAGATTTTATGATCCACAGGAAGGAATGGTAACAATCTATCTGCACGGCTAACACACATATAAAACTAAAGGCTTCATAATCATCTTTAATTGTAACTCCCATTCCCAGGTGTCTTTGGATGGCCATGATATTCGCACATTAAACATCCAGTGGCTCCGTTCTCTCATTGGTATTGTGGAGCAGGAACCAGTGCTGTTTGCCACAACTATTGCTGAAAATATACGCTATGGCCGGCCTGGAGTAACCACGGAAGAAATCATCCAAGCAGCAAAAGAGGCCAATGCTTACAACTTTATTATGGCTCTCCCACAGGTACAGCTCTGGGTAACAATGCAGTGTACATGCTGGTATTGGATTTTGCATAATTAAAAAAAAAACAACAACAACTAAAATACAATTTTGGATTGATTACACAGAAGTTTGACACACTAGTGGGTGAAGGTGGAGGCCAGATGAGTGGAGGACAGAAGCAGAGGATTGCAATAGCTCGAGCTCTCATCAGAAACCCTAGGATCCTGCTGCTGGACATGGCCACATCAGCCCTTGATAATGAGAGTGAAGCTGTAGTCCAAGAAGCTCTAGATAATGTTAGTTCGCTCACAAGTACACTTTAAGGAAAATCCAACATTTCAACTTGCTCTGGGGAATAACAGCCAGATTTTCCTGCAGGTACGTGCAGGAAGGACAACCATCTCCATCGCCCACCGTCTGTCCACAATCAGAAATGCAGATGTGATTGTTGGATTTGAACACGGACGTGCTGTGGAGAGAGGAACGCACAGCGAGTTACTAGAAAAGCAAGGCGTCTACTTCACTCTTGTGACCCTGCAGAACCAAGGTTCAGCCAACACAGCTAATGGTAAGACATCTGAGGGATATGACTGCAAGTAAGACTAGAAAGTATCTATTTGTAAAGGTTTGTCAGCCTTTTGATCATTAAAATGTCCCAAATTAGTGTTAAAGTCTAGAGCAGATTAAAAGTTTCATATAAAAAGTGCAGGTTTAAAGATTAGTTAAATTAAGGATGAGCATACTTTGGTTCATTCAAATGATTTTGTCACTATTTAATCCAAAAAATAAAAAAAAGAATATTTTTTTTTATTTTATTAAGTCATTTTTTTATGCCAACCCTATAATCGAAGTTGCCTTTATGTCTAGTGTTAGCAAAACTGCAGATAACAAGAAAATATGAGAAAAATATAGTCCAATACTGTATCTGTGAGAAAAAGGTCCAGTGAAGCTCCAGGATGGATGGACTGATGGACTGTTGGACATGAACCACAATGAACAGCGGGATTATTCATTATGAAAACAGGGAGTGGGCAGGTTGCGAAAACAAACCACAGAAAAGCAACCACCTAAGAGGGAGAGTTGTCAAAACATGACTGAACTTGAACAGAACTGAAAACTTTGCTCTTTTAAGGGCAGGACATACATGAAAAAGAAGGATTACTACAAAGTCTGTGAGTCAAAGTAGTTTTACCTTTAATTAGCACTATAGTTAGCACACTGGGTTGTATGTAATTGGATCTGTCTGCATGATTTGGATTGCATTGAAATACATTTGACTGACGTGAACTGATTTGAGACCAAAGAACTGAACATGAATTCAACCTCATTGTCTGTTCAATGCCTTGAAGGTGACAATAAATGTATGTAATTAGAGCTACATTAGGACAGTAGAACTGAACTGAACTGAATTTACTTCAGGTGAACAAATCGTACTATGCATACACATTGAGAGTAAACGCCAGCAGGTACAGGGCAAGGTAATGATGATAAACCATCTCAGTGTAGGCAAGAAGTGAAACCAGCAAAACAAAACAAACAAAGCAAAGATTGCCATTGTGAATCAGCAGACTACATAATGACTAAGCAGCAGGAATTGTCTTATCACCTTCATCCTACATGTTGTTTTCCTTTTCTTTTGTTGTTTAATATTTACTGATGAGCCCAGAAATAGCCACTGATTCATTTTTACAGCTGGATGTAAAATAAACATTTTTGCATAGACAATAGTGACAACATTACTCAAAAATGTCCTTTATTGCATTGTGTCCACTGTAAATGTAAATGTAAAATGCAAACACAGCATTACACACACTCGTGACAAAACAAGCAGCTCCTGTAGCAGGCAGCCTAAACACACCCCGGAGCCCTACCTTATGCTGAGTAGGATTTTAATTTTTCCGTCTTAACTCTCCCAACCTAAAACCCATCAGAGAACGGTGGATGGACCCAGAAGTAGGTGCACGTGTGAGAAGGCAAAAGAATCTCACAGAACTAGATGTGCCCTGCACAAAGAGTAAACAAACCACAATGGAAAAACTCAGCTGGCACGACAGACCGTGTTGACTAATGGGAGTCAACATGTTTTAAGATCATTTTCCTTGTTTGCTTTGTGAACATGTATAGCAGGAAGTTACAAATCATTCCACTGGTAGCTATGAAAAAGAGGTAATCCAATACTCTGGCAGACTAGATATTTCAAACAGCAACTCAGGATAGTTAGCATCACAAACTTTATGACTGTGTTGCTTCGTTTTTTTCACTACAAGGTTAGGCGAAAATCTTCCATTAAGCACACATGTCATTCATGCTTTTGGTTTAGGTGGCTGGAAACTTTCAGAGTTGTTATGAAACTTCTTTGATCATTCTTGTTGCAGAAGTCAGTACTGAGCCAAATGAGGATGAATTTGATCTAAAAGTGGGGAATTCTAGACATGGAAGTTGTAGATCTGCCAAAAGGTAAAACAGATTGTACACTTAAAACTTGAGAATAGCACTAGATTATCAACAAATAATTGATCTTCTCAACCTCAACCAGCAGGAGGTCTGTACGCCTGCGATCTCGGAGCCAACTGTCAAGTGACTTTGTCCCAGACGCATTGTCCGGAAGCTTCATGATCCCTTCGGATCTCCAGATAACATCTAAAGATGTAACCCCTCCATTTGTGATTAAGAACTTGCAAAATCTATGGCTAGAATCGCTTTCAGACAGATTTGTCAACAGGTGACTGAGGATGACCCTGAAGAAAACGAAGAGTCAGCTCCAGTTGCACGCATCCTGAAGTACAACCAACCAGAATGGCCGTACATGCTGTTGGGATCACTGGGAGCTGCAGTCAATGGCTCAGTCAACCCCGTCTATGCGGTCCTGTTCAGCCAGATTCTCGGGGTAAGAACTCCTCCTGTGATGACTGTACAATCATGTTCTTCGTTACAAGTTGAGCTGGTTGGATTGGTTATTGTAAACATATTGTTTAGTAAAGCATTTCTTTTTTAGATTTTCTAATTCTGTGCTTTTTTTTCAGACTTTTGCCATTCAGGATTTAAATCAGCAGCGGAAAGAGATCAACGGGATCTGCATTCTGTTTTGCATTGTGGCTGTGATCAGTTTCTTTTCACAGTTTCTGCAGGTTATCTCCCTTTCTCTTAAGAATTATACAAATTGTCATAACGTGTTTAGAAAAATGTGCACACATATAGAATCTGAGCTGAGGCTAGTTGTTAGAAAATAAAACATTTTGTGGATTTTTGGCAAACTCTATAAATTTAAATACAAACTCGAAAAACATAATGAAAGAGTACATGTATGCTCGTTGTACAACAAATATTGCCCATAATTTTTAGGTTGGAAAATTTGGAAGTAAAAATGTGAGAAGAAACAAAATTATTCATTTTAATATTTAAGGCTCATCTAATTGCATAAAATTGGCATTTTAATATACGTTCCCTTTTGAGAGAAACTGTCCTCAAAGCAATCCATCCATCCATCCATGCATTAAACAATATGCATATGTCACAAAACAAAGATATTCTTGAAACAATTCCTTAAAGTCTTGCATTGAAACAGAGTAGATAAAAAAACATAAACTTTACAAACACTGGCTCATATTTGTTTATTCAGGGATATGCTTTTGCTAAGTCTGGAGAGCTGCTGACCCGCCGTCTGAGAAAAGTGGGCTTCCAGGCCATGCTGCGTCAGGAAATTGGCTGGTTTGATGATCCCAGGAACAGTCCTGGGGCTTTGACTACGAGACTGGCCACAGATGCATCCATGGTGCAAGGGGTAAGTTTTTGTTTTCAGGGTTTATCTTACTTATTGGTGTGTTCTTTGAGGATGGTGATTATAGTAATGGCTAAAATGATTTCTGCAGGCAACAGGTTCCCAGATTGGCATGATCGTGAACTCACTGACCAACATTGGAGCCTCGTTCATCATTGCCTTCTACTTCAGTTGGAAGTTAACATTAGTTATCATGTGCTTCCTGCCTCTTATTGGACTGTCTGGTATGTTCCAAGCCAAAATGCTGACAGGATTTGCAAACGAAGACAAAAAATCTATGGAAGCGGCAGGTCAGGTAAGCTGCTGTTCCTTCCCACTACCAAACCAGGTCATTCATTACTGAGCTGATATTTTGCTGTGAGTTTGAGAGCTACAAATAGTGTTTGTCCTACAGGTATCCAGTGAGGCTCTTGGAAACATCAGAACCATTGCCGGTTTAGCCAAAGAGCGCTCATTTGTGGAGTCGTATGAGCAAAAACTGGAGCTGCCTTATAAGTCTGCCAAGAAGAGAGCCAACATCTATGGCCTATGTTTCGGTTTTGCACAGTGTGTCATCTTCATGGCATATGCTGCTTCTTTTAGATATGGAGGTTACCTGGTCAGAGTTGAAGGGTTACCCTACATGCTGGTGTTTAGGTTGGTAAGACTCACAGTAATTAAAAAAAATATTTATTTTAATATCATCCTTATGTTGATTCTGCACTCTTGCAATCTGTCCCTAGAGTGATTTCAGCCATTGTGATCAGTGGGACAGCACTGGGTAGAGCTTCCTCCTTCACTCCAGATTACGCCAAAGCCAAAATTGCTGCTGCTCAGTTCTTTCGACTGTTGGACAGGGTTCCTAAAATCAGTATCAACCACACAGATGGAAAAAAATGGGTCAGTGGGTTTCAAATCTTGAAATACATTTTTTGCATTTTTATGATTGTGTATTTTAAAAAGGACCTTATCCATTTATAGGAGATGTTCAAAGGAAAAATTGAGTTTCTTAATTGCAAGTTTACCTATCCGACAAGACCAGACATTCAAGTGCTGAGTGGCCTGGTTGTTTCGGTGAAGCCTGGGCAGACTTTGGCTTTTGTTGGGAGCAGCGGCTGTGGGAAAAGCACCAGCGTCCAGTTACTGGAAAGGTTTTACGACCCAGATGAGGGACAGGTGGTACGTGTTGGTCAATTTACATATTAACAGCACCAAATACTTAAAAAAAAAAAAAAAAAAAACATTCAGTTTGGTTAAACTGTGCTATTATTACTTACAGTTAATTGATGGTCACCCATCCCATACCGTCAATGTTCCCTTCCTGAGGTCTCAGATTGGCATAGTGTCACAGGAACCAGTTTTATTTGACTGCAGCATAGCAGAGAACATCCAATATGGAGATAACACTCGGACTGTTGCCATGGAGGAGGTTGTGGAGGCTGCCAAGAAGGCCCATCTTCATGACTTTGTGATGGGTCTACCAAATGTGAGTGGAAATGCCTTATTTTAATAATGACATTTTAAAATAACTTCTGTAGTTATCATGTCATTATGTTCACTTAGTGAATAAACTGAACAAAAAACGTAGTCATGTCCTGGTTAATGCTAGTTTGGTATGATGAAGATTGTAATGTTAAATCTTAATTTGAGTGTTAAAATGTTTTTTTTTTCTTCTTCTTCTTCTTAAGTCAGTCAGGAACTGGAAAGAGTAGTCATCTATCAGGTGGAAAGTTAAGGGTTTGACTCCAGCTTTCTGCCCTTCCACATGTTGATGTGATCCTAAGCATTTAACCTCAATTTGCCCATCAATCTGTTTATGAGGGCATGTGTTTATTAGTGAAACTTGGTGATTGGGTGTCTAGTACCAAGCAGGATGATTAGAAACATTTTGTATAAATTCATCCCATAATATTCTAATAAACTTTTTATTTGATTAAGACCTACACCAGAGGTTCCCAAACTGTGGGGCGCGCCCCCTAAGGTGGGCGCCGTGCCATTGCAGGGGGGGCGCAGGAAGCCGACTGGATGAACAAAACAAAACAAAACAAAACAAAACAAAAC